TTGGCAGTAGATTCACACAAGATATCCTCATTTGAAATTTAGTTTCCATGGAAGTCATAAAAAGGCACGGACATTATCGACCATAAATTCTCTTGTACAAGCTATTTTACCATTACAGCACACAGACCCTTTAGCCAAAGAAATACTTTAACTATTTTGCCATTTAAATCATTCTCACACCAAAAAGATTGAGAGAAATGGCCAGACGAACTGAATAACTCAAAATCGCGGGTTTTTTCAATTTCCTTCAAAATCGTACTAGCCCCAGTTTTTTTCCGCATCACACGTCCTGCCCATAGATATAGGAGACCTAGATTGCTGACTCGGCTCAACCGGCGTGACATATTTTGAAAATCCAAGATGGCGGCTCAACAGGGCAAAAATCACAGAGCGAGACAACCTCGTACCCAGGATCTTTCTTTGGGAAAGACCCTGGCTGCGGCTGGTCACGTGCTTCATCAAAAATTTAGCGCCTGAGGGGGGGTGGGGAAAGTATCAAATTACATCAACATGCTTCTAGTGGGATATTCGTTAAAAACATAGATTTTGCGAATTATTACGTTCAAAATACTTGCTAATTTTTGTTTATTTTCTTTGCTTTGAATTTACAAGAACATTGTTACATTCTTACTTACAGTCAAGCCAAGAAACCAAGCGAATCGTTACTCGCAGTGCTCTCTCGTGTTGTTATTCAATGCATGCTCTCTTCACACTCGAGCGCGGTTATAACAAACGTTTGTTGTAATGTTTTTAAAATAGGCCATTACATTTGTCCTTTCTTGTAAACGTTGATACGCTTTGCACCGATTCACTTGTTACTACGCGTCTTGTTTATAAGATTTTTAAAAGAAACAGTATTGTCTAGGAGATTAGGACTGCCCAAATATTAGCAAATGTAAACATTTGATAATAGCCGAACAGAGAAATGTCCATAAGCATAGAGGAAATTTCAGTCATTGATTTATCTGGATTTACTACATAAATTCGTATTCGGTAATTATAGTAAGACTTTAGCCTTTTTCTTGGTCTCTATTAATCATTATATTGTGCTAATATACTATAATCTATATCACAAATTTACAGTGTCAGATGCGCACAGACCGTCATTTGGCGTCATACGAATAGACATAAATTTTCGAGTTTTCTAGTAGAAAACTCGACTTCTACTAACATTTTTAAAGTTTTCATTGTGAATCACCTGTTTATCTCTAACTCATTAATCATTTGCTACTTATATTTATTTGATAGTGTCAATGTCATATAGTGAATAATGCGTTTACACACAAGCAATCCTGGATATGATATAGACGATGCAAGCTGTCCATTAAAAAATAACGGTATTCTATTTCACAAAGCAAAATTTAAATCTCACTTGTATATATTAAGAATGCATATAAAGCAAAAAATTAAAGCTTATTCATGTCAAAACGAAAGCTGTTTACAAAATTTATAAAGGTGGTGAACACTACTAAACAGTGCTCATTGAAAGACATGTATAATACAGTGACATATAATTTGCCGTTTGACTTATCTTTGGTGTATGATTTTAATACCGTAGATTTTCAACAGACAACTATACTTTGACATATACCATGATCGTTGGTTTCAGCAATGCCAAGGGCCAATTTTATAGTCTTTTGACGGGCTTTAAGTTTTTTTGATAAGGCCTTTATATAGATCAACAATCTGGATACAGTTGGCGATATTTCGGAAATCAAAAGATCTCGCTATTTCGTTGCAATTCCACATCTCATCAATAAATAAATTCTTTTGGTCCGAGTATCAGGATAAACTTTAATACTAAATAAATAACAACCACACTGTTCGGTCTAGAGATATATATTTCCTTGTAGGTTTAATCACAGTTTAATATTGCCACGCTGCACAAGCGTCAAGCGTGCTTTCTTTGGCAAGTCTATAATGAAATCTGATCCAACTTGCTTGAATTGTAACTCGACACCAGATTATAGAGTAGAACGTCACGACATAAATATAATTCAAGAGTTCTCTTTATAATTACGATTTCTTGTTGCAAATTTAACAGTAAATTTCATCACCCAAAGTTGCAATTTTAAAACGCTACAAACACTCTCCTTTCCCACCCCTCTCACAGTTACAATTAAATTTACCTCCCAGAATCTGGGAGGCACGTGACCAGCCGCAGCCAGGGTCTCTCCCAGATGACAGACGGAGAGACCCTGGGAACGAGGTTGGTCTACTCAAAGCCTGCCCCCCCCCCCAACTTTTCTAAGCTTTCTACGCCCCTGATATTCACTGGCCTGAAAAATAACTAATTTAACGCGATCAAGGTATTTAAAACAAAAGTAATGCGAAGCCAACGTAACGGCAAAGACAACGCTAAAGTGAAATATTGTCGATTGGTTGCTAGTAGAAGACTTACGACAGGATGGATCTTAAATAACCTTAAACTAGGGGAATAAATGTTCATATCAAAGACAAAGACCAGTGCCAAGCTATAAAATCTGCTCTGTAAACTTACGGCGACGAAGTGGAGAAATGTGTGCATAAGCTGTTTATTTGGTGATTTCAACGTATATGCATGGCAGCCCTCTTTCCAATAATATTCGCTTATCGCACAGAATAACACCAACTGATATAATAGTTCAAATGCAATGATAAGTTACCTCTTGAATGATATCTCAGAAACTGTATTGGAAATAGAAATGCTGACCCATTCCATAAGATTACCGTTTTACATCGTTGTATAAAACATTTTGATCGCATGTAAGGAATTTTTTCTCATCCCAGAGATATAGCCCATGCAACGACTTAACATTGACGTCCTTGTGAGGCCCTTGTGATTTTATAGAGATACAGCCAGAACTGAGGATTTTACAAAGCGATATCGGTACCTTCCCAAAGTTGTAGACAAGATATGTTGTTTACGTCCAACACGCTTAAAATTACATAACTCAAAATAATTCGAGCAAAACCGGCCTTTTGTTAATGTAGAGACTGGTTCATAGGAATTAGTCGTTTTGAGTTATGCAATCGTGTGTCTTCATCCGTCCGTGTCGTTGAACAATGAAAAAATTTGTTGTGAAATTAGCGAAGATAAAATAGCAGTTTGTGAGAAAACTGCGGGTCTACGGTGTGGGAAGTTTTCGGATTTGAACTCAGCGTGTTCGAAAGTGTTAGTTCCCATAAAAATATTTCAGTTCCAAGACATGCTTAATGAAAATCGTTTTCTAGGCACTTTTCGAGGTCACAGCAAACGGCCTAATAGAAATCGGCATGGTGGGGGAGTTGCAATTTACCTATACGCAATTCTTTAAACTATACAGTGAGAGACGATCTCACCGATGAAAGTCTTGAGACATTAACACTTGAAATTACGAAGCCGAAAACCAGACCATTTATAGTTAATAGTTTGGTATAGACCACCGAATAGCTCGCAAGAATGCCTAAATACCTACGAGAATTTAATTACCCAAATGGTTCCGAAAATAAGGAAGTTATTTTAATTGGTGATTTCAACTGCATGCGATTGGTCTCTTCTGGCTAATAATGAAGCCAATGCTCACACAAATATACTTGCCAAAATTATGAATACCTTTCAATTTGAGCAATTAATTAAAGAGCCAACTCGAGTTACGGCACAACTAAGACACTAATCGATTTAGCCTTCACAAACAAACCTGAATTATAAATTATTTAATGGCTCATGCAGGAGTCATTCATTTGGGAATCAGCGACCATAGTATGATTTATATCCAAAGAAGTATTTCAATTCCCCGTGGGGAACCTAAGATTGTCAAAACTAGGCAATTTAAGCAATACAGGGTGTCCCAAAAGAACGAAAACTATTGAAATTAGCAATAACAATTTAATTGTTAGAATTTGAATGCCTTAGCACTCTGTTGGTTCCCACGAGTGCATAAATGATTGACATAAGTAAATTTTATGCACAAAGAAACTGTTTATTAAGAAGCTGTTTTAAATTCCCAAGAGCGAAAAATCGCACACTTTACAAGGAGATGTTCTTAACTAAATTTTAATACATGCACCTTGTCAATATTTTACGCATCATTACGTTCAGCTTTTTGGTAGAGCATTCAATTTTAACAATAAGTGATTTCAATGGTTTTCGTTTTTTGGGGGACACCCTGTATAATGCCAATAATTTTAAGGCAGATATTTTTACATATTTAAACGATGAAATATTTTTGAACAGTACGCTTGATCCAAACGTAATGTGGGAAAAATGGAAAACAAGATTTTTTACTAAAAGAGTAAGAAGCCAATATGCTCCGTGGATAACAAACAACATTAGACAAGTATTGTATTGTATTTGTATTTCAAAATCTTTACAGAGGATAAACATTTCAGTAATCTACTGTTATCAATATGCGCCAAAGAGATTACTTAAAGAAAAAGGCTATTAAAACAGGATCGAAACACTTTCATCATTTTTCATGATGCGTATAGGAGAACTCGAAACGATTTAAATAGGTTAATTAAAAACACAAAAGCTGAATATTTTATGAATACCTCGAACGAATGCGAGAATAATCATATCCTAAAGAAATATGGAAAGCGGTTAATAAACTTACTAACAAAAGCTCAAAAACTACCGTAATCTCTGAAATCCATTAAGGTAATCAAGTTATAACTAATAAGTCTGAAATTGCAAATGCTTTAAGGGGGCCATCTACCTTAAGAACTTTGAAAATTAAAAAAAAAAAAAATTTGCATAAAAGTTATGATTAGTATGTGTAGAAAGTTGTCAAAACAAAATTGGGTCTGATACCACCTTCCTTTCTCTCAAAATTGCATTTTTTTGAAAGGGTATGCAACCGTCTTTCCCGTTGCCATGGAAACGCATTTATATTTACTGTTTGTTAGGCCGGTTTTCTTGGTTGTTTGTGGGCGTTTGAATTTTTTTTGTTGTATTTATGATATTCCACACATGAGGGACTGGTAACGATGTTAAGGCCTGGTCACTAAGCCATTGAACACCTCATTTTACTTTGTTGTTTGAGAGAATAGCTATCAACACTGAGAATATATCAAAGATATATATTTTGACTGGGCTGTATTTTATTTTGTTGTTTATTTGTAACTGAAAATAGTCTCTTAGAGATTATTCTTTCTTGGCAATGCCAAAAGTGTCGAAAAAGAAGACATTTCGTGGCTAAAATCGATGGAATTCTTTGAGACCTATCAGCTCTTCTGAGCTCGCTTCTGAGCCTGTTTTGTCCTCAACATCGACGCCATATGGATCAACGCCAGTCAATGAAACTGCTTCCATACGAAAGATAATAAGTCAAAATAACGATAGAAGAGAAGATTTCGATGGCGAATATGGTTATAGACTGATTGAACTTTCAAATTTAGGTAATGCATTTCAGTCTTTACATAATTGTGAATCAGGGGGAGAGTTGAAAGTTACTGATGACGAGGGGCTCGTAGATATGGAAATAGCGCAGTTATCATAATTGAGTGCTCTAAATGTGACACTAAAATTGAGCTTCAAACTTCGGGAAACAAGAATCAGGGATGGAACCCAAAAAATTCCATTGACATCAATCGACGAATGGTTTACTCCGCAATGGAAATGGGAGTGGGGAGAGATGGAATGTCGGTTATGTGTGATATGTTCAACAAGGGCCTCGAGTTATTGAAATTGCTGCTATGTCGGCTGTGCTGGCCTTCAATTGTGGTGCTGGATCAAGACAGGATGTCATGAAGGCTGCAAACATCCCTGGTGGTGAGTTCACCCTGGAAGGCTGCAAGAAGAAAGATGCGACAAGGATGAGGCACTCTGTAAAGAAGGCAAAGTTGAAGAAAAAGGAAAGGAGGAAAATCAGAGAAGCCAAGCTTGCAGCAAACCAAGAGAAAGGTGAATCCTCATATGCCAGTGGGAAGTTCAACGATGTTGACCCTCTTGATTATGCTACATCATCGTCTGATGATGATGACTATCCACTAGCTAGACTTTTGGCGGACAATGATTCCGAGGACAGTGATTCCGAGGACAGTGATGATGCCCCATTGGCACATTTCATCAGCAAAAGACAATGAAAGTGACATTATAATATTCCCACAGTAATATGTGTTGACTTTGGACAGGTATATTACAGTAATACATTAGAAAACGCTTGTGCTATAGTTAACTAACTTTAAATGGCGTTTTCTCAAAAACCGTATTTTGGTTTCCGGCCATTACCTAAATCCTAAAAACTCCAAAAGTATTTAAGCAATCTTGCTGATTTTTTCTGAGATTGTTCTTTAGGTATTTTTGCACAAATTAATGGATGCTTTTTACACTCTGATAAAAATTGGATGTTCTATACCAAAATTAGTGTTAATGAATAACATCCTTACCTAATATTCATTGCCATGGCAACAAAATAGAGTGTTACACAAAAAGCATCCATTATTTTGTTGACTGGGATGTCATCTATTATACAACTTAAATATATCAAGTTTTGATGCTTAGTTTTTTACTAGATAGAATTCAAACATGGACGGGTTAAAAATTAACCTTTTCAGTTTTACATGGTTCTTATACATTTAAGTTCTTTCCTTGGAGGTCATCTGTAATGATATTTGTGTAGATAATGTTATAAGCTTTAAAATGATATATGGCATGTTGCATATACATTAAACCATAATAAAATAGAGCTACTGTTGTACATAGGTTCGCGATTAATTAAACACATATTTTAGTGAAGTCGGGCCAAACTAGCTGACGAAATACCAAACAGCGGTAGGACGCCGGAATCCTATTTAACTTTTACAAGCACAGAATTCTCAATAAAAAATGTTTCTCAAATAGAAGTTTACAAATTATTTTCCATAATGAAAACATCAAAATCAGCAGGACACGATAGAATTCCGCCAAAACTTCTCAAAGATGCGGCTGAAGAAATAGCTCCCTCATTAGCAGCGATATTTAATGCTTCAATAAACTTGTGCATTTTTCCTGACGACTTTAAGGCAGCGTTTACACTGTACCGTTTTCGTAGCGTTCTCGTATTGTTCGAGAGAACTAGACTATTGTCTTGCGTTCCCTTGAGGATTAAGAACAATGCGAGAACGCTACGAAAACGGTACAGTGTAAACGCTGCCTAAGATTGCTATAATCTCGCCAATACATAAATCTGATAGCAAATTAATCTGTGATAATTGTTGACCAATTTCAGTTTTATCATGTGTTGCAAAAATATTTGAGAAATTAATTTCAGAGCAGCTTAATACGTATTTAAGAGTCCAACAGTTTACTCATAGAACAACAAGCAGGTTTTCGGAGGAAACACTCCACTCAAACATCTCTCCTTCGTACAACAAATCAATGGCTGCTAAATATGGATAGCGGGAGTTTGAATGGAGTTATTTTCCTTGACCTTAAAAAGGCGTTTGACTGTGTAGATCATAATATACTTACAACAAAAATGGATTATTATGGAATAAGAGGTCGTGATCTAGCTTGGTTTGAGTCCTATCTTACTAATCGGATACAATTTTGCAAGGTGAATCAAATTACATCTAATGAAACAACGGTTAAATGTGGCATACCACAAGGTTCTAACTTAGGCCCCTTGTGGCATACCACAAGGTTCTAACTTAGGCATATAAACGACCTTCCGAACTGTCTATCATTATCCTCGGCAAGTATGTTTGCTGATGACACAAATATTTTTACTACTCAAGGTAAAAGTGTAAAACTGACACTGAAATACAAGAACGCTTAAATACCGACCTAGAAAATGTGCACCAATGGCTAACTTCGAATAAACTTACTCTTAATAAAAAGAAAACTGAATACATGATAGTTGGCTCACGACAACGCATTTCAAATATTTTAACAGATTCTATAGTCAAACTTGGTGACTCAACAATAAAGCGAGTCAACAAATCTAAAACTTTGGGGATCATTGTTGATGAGCACCTCTCGTGGAACGACCAAATACAAAGTATTATTTCAAAATCTTCAAAAGGTATAGGAATGATTCAGAGAATAAAGACATTTGTTCATACAATGCTATTGTCCTGTCACATTTTGATTATTGCAGTCTTGTTTGGGATAATTGTTCTGATTATCTGTTAAACAAACTGCAAAAATTACAAAATAGGGCTGCGAGAGTGATTACGGACAGAACATATGAAACCAGACCTAAAGATGTTTTAAAAGAGCTAAATTGGCAGCCCTTAAGTGAACGACTAAAGAGAAACAAATGTATTTTTATGCACAAAATAAAAAATAACGTCATGCCACAATCAGTAATAGAAATGTTTAAAATCAAAGAGAACCAAGTGTATCAATTGCGTAGTAACAATATAAACTTCTCCCTTGGAAAGCCAGTAACAAATTTTATGAAAAAGAGTATTAGTTACTCGGCTGCGTCCTTATGGAACAGCTTACCAAGTTTAGCTAAGGAACAAAACAGCCTTAGTAAATTTAAATCTATTCTTGACCGCAGCTGATGTATTCTTGTAATTAGTAATTAGTAATCTAGTATATAATTAGTAATATAGGTCTAGTGTAATAGTTGTAAATTAATTTATATTTGTATTGTTAATTTAAGTGGTTTGCAAACGGCTCCTTGAAAAGCAGGTGCCTATGTGCCCTGAAGGACTACCGTTTTTAAATATTATTAAATAATAATAATAATAATAACTCTTGTTGATACGCGACATTTTCACGAAAATCGCTGTTTGGGGCCGCTTATCTCGCGAATGAAAAGAGAAAACCGAAAAATGTTAAAGAACCTATTAACTAACTTTTTGTCCTCTACTCAAAAATCAAAAAAAAATTGTGACATAAGCACTTTAAACAACACTTCATTACGACGTTTAACGTTTGTCAATATTTTTATTCTAACATTTGCGGGCTCTCTCCTTAATGGCTTGAAGTCTGGCAGCAGACAAAGTAACATATGACTATATATGGCTTAATAAATCAGTTTCAGGTTCCGGCTGGAACGTCTGGTCGGAACTTTTTTCCAGTTCCGGCCGGATCCGGTTCCGGCCGGAACTTTAAAAAATTGGTTCTGGTAAACCCCTAGTTTATTGCTGCCGAGCCTCAGCTCGGCAGCACACTATTCTTAACGTTACATGACGTTCTTGCTTTTTCGTGTCCACTCCCTGCGGCCGAGTTATGTATAGTCGAATAGCGATTTTTACTCGGTGGAGATTTCGGCATTCCAGGGGGCTCATTAAGTATTCAAGTCGGTTTGTAAAATGAGGGGGTTGTTCAACAAAATTTTCTTCAATGATGCGAGCAGGCTACTCAAATATGTGTCTTTTAAGTGTTTCATGCGAAATTTTCAGTACATAAAGTAGTAATATCTGTATGTTTAGTTCATATACTTAGTGTTTATTTATCGATGTGATGAACCGGTTTAATAAAGTTGCGAATATCGAGGGTAACAGCCTTACCTACTACAAATCGCTGGCTACTATGTATATACATATTAACTATGGTATATGAAAGAGTTTAAGAATTTATAAACTATTGTTTGTTCAAAGTCGAGTAATGTATTGTCATTATAATTTTATTTTGACATTAGTCAAATGTCCACAATGGCACAATATGTCTTACAGTATTAAAATTCGCGCAGTAATAGAATTCGCGCAGCGCTGGGTGAGCAAATTTTAGCACTGCGCGAAATATAATCCGCGCGAAAAACGTCAAAGATAAAGCGTGCATTTAAAATAACAAGAACTAAAACAGTTATTGCATAGTTCTCATTTGCCTAATATTAATTTAATACAATAATAGGGTTGTCTGGAAAACGCGTACATGGAAAACGCGTACATGGAAAACGCGTACATGGAAAACGCGTACATGGAAAACGCGTACAATGTTCATTTGTAACGTTAATTAAAACTTGGCGGTTTTATCATGGCTAGAAATGAAGGACAGTCAGCGCCACGCATCGCGGGCGTCGAATTTAGGGAAACTATGCACCCGCGAGACACAGCGCTGACTAAGGAATGATAAAATTGATTCACATGAGTGAATATATATGGCATTTTATGCCTTTTATCAAGTCTTTTATGAATATTGAATATGTCTTTTTATTATTTGTTGCGTAATTTGAGTACGGTCGACTTTTAAGCGCAAGGGACGTCTCGTATTTCCACAGCAAAATATATATTGTAAATATTTTCCAATTTTCGCGCTATTTTGAGCCACTGTGTATCTTCTTTAATCGGCCAGCGGCTATTAGCATCAATGTTTACAAAATGGCGTAAAAGCCACAGTTGTACGGACGAAATTTTGGGAAATTTCGCAGCTGTTCTTCACTACAAGCTCTACGGTTGTGAGAATTTAAGCTTGCAGTTTGTTAAAAAACAGACGATTTTAAAACCATTTGGCCGTACGAATACAAGCTAAGGAGCTTCTAAAGCAACGCAAAATGACAGTTTGAACATCGTATAGGAAATATAGACGTGGGCATTTTGTCTGACTTCTTCTCGAACGAAACTATACCGGACTGAACATAGCACCTAAACTCGGATTTCGCCGTTTTAATGGAGTTTACATTAGCAGAAAATATCGGCAAATGGGGTCACTCGGGCCGGCTAATAGCAAATCGTGAGACGTCGAGAGTTTGCAAGACAACGCTATTAAGGTATTTTATAGATTTGTAGACGTGGGCAACTTGAAAATTTTACACTCTTTCTTTATGCGCATCGATTTTATATGTTTATACTATTAACGCTCTATATTTCCGCCATCTTGAATTCATAAAATTTGTTAGATCTGCGCATATTTTGACAAAGCGAGCCGCCATACTGTCCTTTATTTCTAGCCATGGCATTATTTAACGTACTTAAACTATGGCCTCTCAACAAGTGCAAGTCAAGTATACAGTATATGTCTCGCCGGAGACAGCTTCCACAGTTGCCAACGGAGAATAAACCAGTCCAAACAGTTCTCAACGGAGATATAAATTTCAACCTACAAGCTAACATGCATACCAAAACTAATTGAATATTCTAATGTTTTCTTTTGGCAGAAAAAATCTATTCCCATTCCCAATTTCGCAATTACAAACCTATCTGATCAAAACAAATTCATCGTTGTTTTATTTGACAACTTATTTGTATAGTGTTGAATAAGATGTTTATACTTTTTAATGTAACGAACTCGCAATGTTTCACACTATATGAGCTACATAGCGGTAGTACACATTCAAACTATGATTAGTCTATGTAATAATTGAAGGAAACGCCAATTAGATGCATAATAAAAATCAACACGTCCTATTCCGACAGTAAATGCCAACACACCTGGCAAACTCTAGCCTACAGTGTCTGCTGGGGTCTACGTACGGTACACCGTAGGCTAGGCAAACTCTTCTTAAGTTCATAGTCTGTCCAAGAAGTGTTATCTCATGCGTTTTAATTTTAGTTGCTTTGAATCCATTTATGCTCAAGTTATAAATTAATAATGTCGATTTCATGTGCGTATTCTGTATGCGCCCTCGCTATCCTGCTGCGTTCTTCGTTTCAATTTGCTCCCCTTTTTAGTATTAAACAAACATAGCCCCAGAAATCAGGAAAGTGATAAGGCACTCATGAAAGTGAGTCTCTTTTAAACGTTTTAGGCGATATCCCGCTTGCTAATATATTTTCCATATCAAAATTGTTTTCGTTTATATTAGAAGAGGGCCAGCCTTAAAGGCCATTTTCCATTGCAGTCGCTTTGCGCGCGCGGGCGGAGCGAGCAATTTTAATCAAGTGAAAAATGCAAAGGTTAATTAACTACAGACAAAGTTAAGTAATGTCCGCTTCACCGCCTGCATGCCCTTGCTAACCCTTGCGCAACCTTTTCTTCCGCCCGCGCTTGAAACATAGAGACGACTGGGGACGAGTCAGCGCCCGTGCGGCCAAAGCGACAGTAATGGAAAATTGCCTTAAGCCTGTTTTCCACTAGCGAATTTCTTCGCGCGAAGCGAATTTTCTATTGTTTAAATTGAAAAGAATTGATTAAAAATCTAATTAGTCTCAGCCGAGAGCTCATAATACAAAAGATTCGCGCGAACAAATTCGCTAGTGGAAAACAGGCTTAAAGCCTGATTTCCACTAGGCGGAATTTTGCGCGCGCAGCGGAAATTTTCTTTGTCTTTTTTAATTAGTTCCACCTGAGAAATCACAAGACAAAGAAAAATTCCGCTCCGCGCGCAAAATTCCGCCTAGTGGAAATCAGGCTTTAAGCCGGTTTTCCACTAGCGACTTTTGTCGCGTGGGTCGACCTTTGTCGGTATAATCTATTACGTCAACAAGACGTGGCAAAATGATGCCGACAAAGGAAAAAGGTCGCTTCGCGCGAAAAAATTCGCTAGTGGAAAACCGGCTTTACTAGGGCCAGGCGAGATCTTGCTATTGACGAGGCGACATCTTGCCTTTTTACATGCAGGGTTAGAAACGTCCCATCAATAAACGCAGTAGGGAGGGCTGGCCTCCCTAGTAGTTATCTCATGCATGTAAATGCGGGGAAAATCAGCCCTACTCATTTTCC